TATGGTGGCAGGGGTGGTGTCGTGCAGGTGTGGGGACAGGGGTGGTGTCGTGCAGGTGTGGTGGCAGGGGTGGTGTCGTCCAGGTGTGGTGGCAGGGGTGGTGTCGTGCTGGGAGGGTGGCAGGGGTGGTGTCGTCCAGGTGTGGTGGCAGGGGTGGTGTCGTCCAGGTGTGGGGGCAGGGATGGTGTCGTGCAGGTGTGGTGGCAGGGGTGGAGTCGTGCAGGTGTGGTGGCAGGGGTGGTGTCGTGCATGTGTGGTGGCAGAGGTGGTGTTGTGCAGGTGTGGTGGCAGGGGTGGTGTCGTCCAGGTGTGGTGGCAGGGGTGGTGTCGTCCAGGTGTGGTGGCAGGGGTGGTGTCGTCCAGGTGTGGTGGCAGGGGTGGTGTCGTCCAGGTGTGGTGGCAGGGGTGGTGTCGTCCAGGTGTGGTGGCAGGGGTGGTGTAGTCCAAGTATGTTGGCAGGGGTGGAGTCGTGCTGGGGTGGTGGCTGGGGTGGTGTCGTGCAGGTGTGGTGGCAGGGGTGGTGTCGTGCAGGTGTGGTGGCAGGGGTGGTGTCGTGCAGGTGTGGTGGCAGGGGTGGTGTCGTCCAGTTATGGTGGCAGGGGTGGTGTCGTGCAGGTGTGGGGACAGGGGTGGTGTCGTGCAGGTGTGGGGGCAGGGGTGGTGTCGTCCAGGTGTGGTGGCAGGGGTGGTGTCGTCCAGGTGTGGTGGCAGGGGTGGTGTCGTCCAGGTGTGGTGGCAGGGATGGTGTCGTCCAGGTGTGGTGGCAGGGATGGTGTCGTCCAGGTGTGGTGGCAGGGGTGGTGTCGTCCAGGTGTGGTGGCAGGGGTGGTGTCGTGCATGTGTGGTGGCAGAGGTGGTGTTGTGCAGGTGTGGTGGCAGGGGTGGTGTCGTCCAGGTGTGGTGGCAGGGGTGGTGTCGTCCAGGTGTGGTGGCAGGGGTGGTGTCGTGCAGGTGTAGTGACAGGGGTGGTGTCGTCCAGGTGTGGTGGCAGGGGTGGTGTCGTCCAGGTGTGGTGGCAGGGGTGGTGTTGTCCAAGTATGTTGGCAGGGGTGGAGTCGTGCTGGGGTGGTGGCTGGGGTGGTGTCGTGCAGGTGTGGGGGAAGGGGTGGTGGCAGGGGTGGTGTCGTCAAGGTGTGGTGGCAGGGGTGGTGTCGTCCAGGTTTGTTGACAGGGGTGGTGTCGTCCAGGTGTGGGGGCAGGGATGGTGTCGTCCAGGTGTGGGGGCAGGGGTGGTGTTGTCCAGGTGTGGGGGCAGGGGTGGTGTTGTCCAGGTGTGGTGGCAGGGGTGGTGTTGTCCAGGTGTGGGGGCAGGGGTGGTGTCGTCCAGGTGTGGTGGCAGGGGTGGTGTTGTCCAGGTGTGGGGGCAGGGGTGGTGTTGTCCAGGTGTGGTGGCAGGGGTGGTGTCGTCCAGGTGTGGGGGCAGGGGTTGGTGTCGTCCAGGTGTGGTGGCAGGGGTGGTGTCGTCCAGGTGTGTTGGCAGGGGTGGTGTTGTCCAGGTGTGGGGGCAGGGGTGGTGTTGTCCAGGTGTGTTGGCAGGGGTGGTGTTGTCCAGGTGTGGGGGCAGGGGTGGTGTTGTCCAGGTGTGGGGGCAGGGGTGGTGTTGTCCAGGTGTGGTGGCAGGGGTGGTGTAGTCCAGGTGTGGGGGCAGGGGTGGTGTCGTCCAGGTGTGGTGGCAGGGGTGGTGTTGTCCAGGTGTGGGGGCAGGGGTGGTGTTGTCCAGGTGTGGTGGCAGGGGTGGTGTCGTCCAGGTGTGGGGGCAGGGGTGGTGTCGTCCAGGTGTGGTGGCAGGGGTGGTGTCGTCCAGGTGTGGGGGCAGGGGTGGTGTTGTCCAGGTGTGGTGGCAGGGGTGGTGTTGTCCAGGTGTGGTGGCAGGGGTGGTGTTGTCCCGGTGTGGTGGCAGGGGTGGTGTCGTCCAGGTGTGGTGGCAGGGGTGGTGTTGTCCAGGTGTGGGGGCAGGGGTGATGTTGTCCAGGTGTGTTGGCAGGGGTGGTGTCGTCCAGGTGTGTTGGCAGGGGTGGTGTCGTCCAGGTGTGGGGGCAGGGGTGGTATCGTGCAGGTGTGGTGACAAGGGTGGTGTCGGGATGCCCGGGGGTAGTGTTGGTCCGGGGGGTAGAGGTGTGTGATTGTGGTGTCGTGGGGTGGGGGGGGGGGAACCAACATGGGGTGTACCCAAACAGTGGCGTGATCGGTCTTGGAGAGAGGGGCGGGGGGTACCCCCCTTGTGTGGGTAACCCAAACAGTGGCGTGATGGGTCGTCACCAGACACGCTCTGATGAGGTGAAGTGCTGCATTCCTTTTCAGGGAAGATTCCCCTACTTAGGAAAAACTTTATGGAAGTTTCCCCTACTGCAGACATGGTCCCATGGATTGGTATTGGTCACGATACAACAGTCATGCCCAACAGTGAACTAGAAAAGGTACAACAATTTTACAAATGGCTTCAGGATCTGAAAAACAAAAGCTACGAGTTGTGACTAGAGATGTATTAGCTAAAAGAATGAAGAAAAAGAGGTGATATGATCACTACGTACAAAATAGTACTAGGAATCGAGCATTCTTGAAACCTGCAACATCAGGAACAACAGGTCAGGGATTCAAGCTAAGGAAACAAGGTTGATAATAAATATTAGGAGGTTCATCTTTGCAAACTGAGTGGTAGACGGTTGGGGCAAGTTAGGTGAGACGGTGGTGGAGGCGAATAACGTCAGTAGTTTCAGTGCGTTATATGACAGAGTACTGGGAAGACGGGACGCCACGAGCGGTCCGTACCTCTCATCCTGTAACTACACTTTGGTAATTACACACACATGCACATGCACATGCACACACACACACACACACACACACACACACACACACACACACACACACACACACACACACACACACACACACACACACACACACACACACACACACACACACACACAGTGTGTATGTGAAGGGGGGGACTCGTAGCCTGGTAGATAGCGCGCTAGACTCGTAATTCTGTGGCGCGGGTTCGATTCCCGCACAAGGCAGAAACAAATGGGCAAAATTTCTTTTACCCTGAATGCCCCTGTTACCTAGCAGTAAATAGGTACTTGGGAGTTAGTCAGCTGCCACGGGCTGCTTCCTGGGTGTGTGTGTGTGTGTGGTGTGGGGAAAAAAATAAAAGTAGTTAGTAAACAGTTGATTGACAGTTGAGAGGCGGGCCGAAAGAGCAAAGCTCAACCCCCGCAAACACAACTAGGTGAAAACACACACACACACACACACACACACACACACACACACACACACACACACACACACACACACACACACACACACACACACACACACACACACACACACACACACACACACACACACACACACACACACACATGGTAGTTCGCTCCAGTGGATAAGGGAGTAACTAAGCAATAGGAAGCAGAGAGTTACAGTGAGGGGTGAGACCTCAGATTGGCGTGAAGTCACCAGTGGAGTCCCACAGGGCTTTGTACTCTGTCCTATCCTGTTTCTGATATACATAAATGATCTCTCTTCTCTATGTTTGCTGACGACGCCAAAATTATGAGGATTAAGACAGGAGGACAGCTTGAGGCTTCAAGAAGACCTGGACAAGCTGCAGGAATGGTCGAACAAATGGCTGTTAGAGTTTAACCCAAGCAAATGTAATGTAATGACGATAGGTGTAGGGAGCAGGAGACCAGATACAAGGTATAATTTGGGAGATGAAATACTTGAAGAGTCCGAGAGAGAGAAAGACACCAAACTAGTACCCGAGCTGAGAGGTATGAGCTACGAGGAGAGACTACGGGAATTAAACCTCACTTCGTTGGAAGACAGAAGAATTAGGGGGGACATGATCACCACATTCAAGATTCTCAAGGGAATTGATAGGGTAGATAAAGACAGGCTATTTAACACAAGGGGCACACGCACTAGGGGATACAGGTGGAAACTGAGCGCGCAAATGAGCCACAGAGATATTAGAAAGAACTTTTTTAGTGTCAGAGTGGTTGACAACTGGAATGCATTAGGAAGTGTTGTGGTGGAGGCTGACTCCATACAGTTTCAAGTGTAGATATGATAGAGCCCAATAGGCTCAGGAACCTGTACACCTGTTGATTGACGGTTGAGAGACGGGACCAAAGAACCAGAGCTCAATCCCCGCAAGCACAACTAGGTGAGTACATACCGCTAACAGCGTTCGGAGGTCGCAGTCCTGCGGGCCCGGGTTCGTTTCACGACTGAGGCAAACACAAATGGGCTGAATATGTACGTGGCAGTTATAGAGCTGCTACGGGCTGCTTTCTGGAGACGTGTGTACTCACCTAGTTGTGTTTGCGGGGGTTGAGCTCTAGCTCTTTGGTCCCGCCTCTCAACCGTCAATCAACAGGTGTACAGGTGTGTGTGTTAGAGAGAAATATAAATAGTAAATATTACAGAGTTAACAGGACCGGAGTCACAAGATTAGTCCCCCGACGGGTAGAAAGGCGGGGTCCAAGAGCTCGACCCTGAAGGCGCAAATGGTAAACTCAAATATCAAACCCACAAATAATAACGACCCCCTCCTGGTAACGACACAACGGCACTGGCTGAACCATCACCACCAGCCCACTCGTCATTACATGAGCACACGTCCATGTTTCGGTCCGTTCTGGACCGTGATCAAGATGTGTACCGGTCCAACGACGTGATAATGGTCCGGGACGGAAGGAATGGTCGTCGTCTCCTCATCTTGAGACGTGGGGGCAGGTCATCATGTGATCAACCACCTTATTGTCACTCGCCCTCTGCATATTTATCCATTATTTCTTGACGAGAAAATTACGACAGCCTTTCATCATGTCGAGCATGTCATGCAAGCATGCCAGTGACGGTGACATGACAACCGTATCATGCAAGCATGCCAGTGACGGTGACATGACAACCTTATCATGCAAGCATGCCAGTGACGGTGACATGACAACCGTATCATGCAAGCATGCCAGTGACGGTGACATGACAACCTTATCATGCAAGCATGCCAGTGACGGTGACATGACAACCTTATCATGCAAGCATGCCAGTGTCGGGGACATGACAACCTTATCATGCAAGCATGAAAGTGACGGTGACATGACAACCTTATCATGCAAGCATGCCAGTGTCGGTGACATGACAACCTTGTCATACAAGCATGCCAGTGACGGTGACATGACAACCTTATCATGCAAGCATGCCAGTGTCGGGGACATGACAACCTTATCATGCAAGCATGCCAGTGTCGGGGACATGACAACCTTGTCATGCAAGCATGCCAGTGTCGGGGACATGACAACCTTGTCATGCAAGCATGCCAGTGTCGGGGACATGACAACCTTGTCATGCAAGCATGCCAGTGTCGGGGACATGACAACCTTATCATGCAAGCATGCCAGTGTCGGGGACATGACAACCTTAGCATGCAAGCATGCCAGTGTCGGGGACATGACAACCTTATCATGCAAGCATGCCAGTGTTGGGGACATGACAACCTTATCATGCAAGCATGCCAGTGTCGGGGACATGACAACCTTATCATGCAAGCATGCCAGTGTCGGGGACATGACAACCTTATCATGCAAGCATGCCAGTGATGGTGACATGACAACCTTATCATGCAAGCATGCCAGTGATGGTGACATGACAACCTTATCATGCAAGCATGCCAGTGACGGTGACATGACAACCTTATCATGCAAGCATGCCAGTGATGGTGACATGACAACCTTATCATGCAAGCATGCCAGTGACGGTGACATGACAACCTTATCATGCAAGCATGCCAGTGTCGGGGACATGACAACCTTATCATGCAAGCATGCCAGTGTCGGGGACATGACAACCTTATCATGCAAGCATGCCAGTGACGGTGACATGACAACCGTATCATGCAAGCATGCCAGTGACACCGTCATGACCACCACTGAGCCACGACAACCACACAGTTGTACCAACCATACCGCCATGACACAGTCATGCCAACCATACAACACTGACAACATCATATACATCATACATATACATCACTACAATATACATGAGGCTCCGGTAGCACAGTCGAGTTCGTGCTCGACGCACAATCAAGAATTCCGGGTTCGAATCCCGGGCGGGACAGAAATGGTTGGGCACATTTCGTGTCACCTAATGCCTCTGTTCACCTAGCAGTGATTAGGTACCCAGGAGTTTGTCAAGAGGGGGGGGGGGGAACCTCGATATAACGTACTCACCTAGTTGTGCTTGCGGGGGTTGAGCTCTGGCTCTTTGGTCCCGCCTCTCAACTTAATACATACACACATAACGTATATGAATACACCCTGGCTTCCTGTCCCCCGACGCAATTAATTATTATTATTAATATTATGAAGTCAAACAACCATAACAACCATAACAACCACACAACATAACAACCACACAACCATAACAACCATAACAACCTCACAACCATGACAACCACAACAACCACACAACCACACAACCATAACAACCATAACAACCTCACAACCATGACAACCATAACAACCACACAACCATAACAACCATAACCTCACAACCATGACAACCACAACAACCACACAACCATAACAACCACACAACCATAATAACCACACAACCATAACAACCACACAACCACACAACCATAACAACCACACAACCATAACAACCACACAACCATAACAACCATAACAACCACACAACCACACAACCATAACAACCACACAACCATAACAACCACACAACATAACAACCACACAACCATAACAACCACACAACCATAACAACCACAACAACCGCACAACCATAACAACCACACAACATAACAACCACACAACCATAACAACCACACAACCACAACAACCGCACAACCATAACAACCACACAACATAACAACCAAACAACCATAACAACCACACAACATAACAACCACACAACCATAACAACCACACAACCACAACAACCGCACAACCATAACAACCACACAACATAACAACCAAACAACCATAACAACCACACAACCATAACAACCAGACAACATAACAACCACACAACCATAACAACCACACAACCATAACAACCACACAACCATAACAACCACAACAACCACACAACCATAACAACCAAACAACCATAACAACCTCACAACCATGACAACCACACAACCACACAACCATAACAACCACACAACCATAACAAACACGCAACCATAACAAACACACAACCATAACAACCACACAACCATAACAACCACACAACCATAACAAACACACAACCACACAACCATAACAACCACACAACCATAACCACCATAGTAAACCACACAACCACACATGTATAGCAGGTACACATGTAGGACAACCATACACACAAGGCAACCACACATAAACACAATATACACACATTCAGACCAATATTACATCTTTTAATGACAAGATTAGAATAGTTGGGTAACGCATATATTGTTTACTGAGGTAATTATATTTTTTATAATTTTACGCCAAGGGGCGAGTTTATTGGGCAGCGCCACTCATCCTGTGAGTGGACACACCGCCATAGTGACAGTATTGGGCAGCGCCACTCATCCTGTGAGTGGACACACCGCCATAGTGACAGTATTGGGCAGCGCCACTCATCTTGTGAGTGGACACACCGCCATAGTGACAGTATTGGGCAGCGCCACTCATCTTGTGAGTGGACACACCGCCATAGTGACAGTATTGGGCAGCGTCACTCATCTTGTGAGTGGACACACCGCCATAGTGACAGTATTGGGCAGCGTCACTCATCCTGTGAGTGGACACACCGCCATAGTGACAGTATTGGGCAGCGCCACTCATCCTGTGAGTGGACACACCGCCATAGTGACAGTATTGGGCAGCGTCACTCATCCTGTGAGTGGACACACCGCCATAGTGACAGTATTGGGCAGCGCCACTCATCCTGTGAGTGGACACACCGCCATAGTGACAGTATTGGGCAGCGGCACTCATCTTGTGAGTGGACACACCGCCATAGTGACAGTATTGGGCAGCGCCACTCATCCTGTGAGTGGACACACCGCCATAGTGACAGTATTGGGCAGCGCCACTCATCCTGTGAGTGGACACACCGCCATAGTGACAGTATTGGGCAGCGCCTCTCATCCTGTGAGTGGACACACCGCCATAGTGACAGTATTGGGCAGCGCCACTCATCCTGTGAGTGGACACACCGCCATAGTGACAGTATTGGGCAGCGCCACTCATCCTGTGAGTGGACACACCGCCATAGTGACAGTATTGGGCAGCGCCACTCATCCTGTGAGTGGACACACCGCCATAGTGACAGTATTGGGCAGCGCCACTCATCCTGTGAGTGGACACACCGCCATAGTGACAGTATTGGGCAGCGCCACTCATCTTGTGAGTGGACACACCGCCATAGCGACAGTATTGGGCAGCGCCACTCATCCTGTGAGTGGACACACCGCCATAGTGACAGTATTGGGCAGCGCCACTCATCCTGTGAGTGGACACACCGCCATAGCGACAGTATTGGGCAGCGCCACTCATCCTGTGAGTGGACACACCACCATAGCAGCATGTACAACACTCCCCAATAGGAAGAAAACCCGCTGGGTTGTTCATCCTGTCACTTGTACCCAGACACAGCTGTTTTCATAGTATGTTAGCCATGTGTTTGAACATAACTATAGGGGGATCTGGCAGGGAAATTGAGTTCAAAGGAAAGACGTAACAGCATGTAATGGAGGACTGAAAATTTAATCATGGTTTGGGATTCGTTACCCTAGGCTCGGGAGGTTAAGATCCGTTACTCTAGGCTGGTAATGTTGCGTCAGCCGTTACTCTAGGCTGGTAATGTTGCGTCAGCCGTTACTCTAGGCTGGTAATGTTGCGTCAGCCGTTACTCTAGGCTGGTAATGTTGCGTCAGCCGTTACTCTAGGCTGGTAATGTTGCGTCAGCCGTTACTCTAGGCTGGTAATGTTGCGTCAGCCGTTACTCTAGGCTGGTAATGTTGCGTCAGCCGTTACTCTAGGCTGGTAATGTTGCGTCAGCCGTTACTCTAGGCTGGTAATGTTGCGTCAGCCGTTACTCTAGGCTGGGAAGGTAGCGTCAGCCGTTACTCTAGGCTGGTAATGTTGCGTCAGCCGTTACTCTAGGCTGGTAATGTTGCGTCAGCCGTTACTCTAGGCTGGTAATGTTGCGTCAGCCGTTAGCCTAGGCTGGGAAGGTAGCATCAGTCGCCATAGAGGCAGAGGAGCAAGGTGAAGCGAGTGGGATGACGGGCCGGAGCGGTGATTGGGCGAGGAATGAACGTGGTGCATGTGGCCAGGATCACCCCACCTGGTCACGTGATGCTCACACCACACCACCACCACCACGCCACGCCGCCCCACTCCCGCCCTGGCCCACCACCACCACGCCACGCCGCCCCACTCCCGCCCTGGCCAATGACGAGCTCCATCCTGCCGTTGCTACCACCCCCCGCCAGCCCCTACCATCCCCGAACCCCGGCCAACAACCACCAATGGCCACCCCCCCCCCGCCCAGGCCAACCACCAAGGGGCCCACCACCAAGGGGCCCACCACCAAGGGGGCCCACCACCTCCCCACTTATAACTCAAGCTACAAATAGCCATCGCTATCTATTAAAAGTTTCGACAATGTTAATTTCTAAAATAAAACCATGGTTTTAAATTTTAATTCGTTCGCTATGTAAACACGCGAGCAAATTATATGACTTAATAGCATTCATTATCTTGGACTGTACCGGGCCACGATGTGCTACAGTGTACCGGGCCACGATGTGCTTCAGTGTACCGGGAAACGTTGTGCTACAGTGTACCGGGCCACGATGTGCTTCAGTGTACCAGGTCACGTTGTGCTACAGTGTAGGGGGTCACGTTGTGCTACAGTGTACCGGGCCACGATGTGCTTCAGTGTAAAGGGTCACGTTGTGCTACAGTGTACCGGGTCACGTTGTGCTACAGTGTACCGGGCCACGTTGTGCTACAGTGTACCGGGTCACGTTGTGCTTCAGTGTACCGGGCCACGATGTGCTTCAGTGTACCGGGTCACGTTGTGCTACAATGTACCGGGTCACGTTGTGCTACAGTGTACCGGGCCACGATGTGCTTCAGTGTACCGGGAAACGTTGTGCTACAGTGTACCGGGCCACGTTGTGCTACAGTGTACCGGGCCACGATGTGCTTCAGTGTACCGGGTCACGTTGTGCTACAGTGTACCGGGTCACGTTGTGCTACAGTGTACCGGGCCACGATGTGCTTCAGTGTACCGGGTCACGTTGTGCTACAGTGTACCGGGTCACGTCGTGCTACAGTGTACCGGGCCACGATGTGCTTCAGTGTACTGGGCCACGATGTGCTTCAGTGTACCGGGTCACGTTGTGCTTCAGTGTACCGGGCCACGATGTGCTTCAGTGTACCGGGTCACGTTGTGCTACAGTGTACCGGGTCACGTTGTGCTACAGTGTACCGGGCCACGATGTGCTTCAGTGTACCGGGAAACGTTGTGCTACAGTGAACCGGGCCACGTTGTGCTACAGTGTACCGGGCCACGATGTGCTTCAGTGTACCGGGTCACGTTGTGCTACAGTGTACCGGGTCACGTTGTGCTACAGTGTACCGGGCCACGATGTGCTTCAGTGTACCGTGTCACGTTGTGCTACAGTGTACCGGGTCACGTCGTGCTACAGTGTACCGGGCTACGATGTGCTTCAGTGTACTGGGCCACGATGTGCTTCAGTGTACCGGGCCACGATGTGGTTCAGTGGACCGGGCCACGATGTGCTACAGTGTACTTGGCCACGTTGTGCTACAGTGTACCGGGCCACGTTGTGCTACAGTGTACCGGGCCATGT